AGTGTTACCACCCCTTTGCCCTCAACCTGAGTTTTCCTTTTCAGTCACTGCCTTCACTTACCCCTCACTAAGCCTCACAGATCACTTGAACGTACGCCACCAGAGTGCTGACAATCCCCATGGCAAGAATACACCCTTGGGCACCTTTGCTGACAAAGCCTGCAACACTCCTCATGGAAATGAGGCAGAATTGGCCCCCCAAGTTTCCCATGCACCTCTCTTCAGAGCACAGGCACAGCTCTGCCCAGCTGCTCCAACCAATCCCTCCATCATCCAGTTACAGCTGACACAGTGCACACAGCTGCAGATAAATGCTGGGATTCCCATCTGTGAACACAACACAGACAATGGCACGTTCTTAGTCTTTCCTTGTATCGATTATTGTTTATCATTATCCATTGTTATTTCTGCAATACAATGAGGCTTTGATTTTTGAAACGAGTCCAATGCATACAAGTGGCACAGCATAGTGCAGCAATTACCTCCAATGCGCCTTTGCACTGGCTGGGGATATTTCTTCAGCTTTACTCTTGTATTGTTTTCCATAATCCATTCCTGTACTTCTTTCTTTCTTTCTCTTCTGTATTTAAAAGTGGGCTTTCATTCTGATTCTATGGCTATTGTAATCATATTACATTGTGTACTCTGTTTATGGCATATGGGTTTATTGAGAACATTTAGTAATAAACATGTGTAGTATGACTGTAACTGGTACCCTTGTATGTAGGTCACTCGGATCTGGGAATTGGTGGGAATGGATTTAATAGGACCATTACCAGTAACAAAGGATGGATACCAGTATATACTGACAGTCCTAGATTATCTTTCAAGATGGGTGGAAGCCTTTCCACTTAGAAGTAAGTCAGCATCTGAGGTGGTAGAGAACATGTGCAAAATGCTTGTTAGACGTGGATGCCCAGAGCAGATACTGACAGATCTTGGTCCGGAATTCAATAATAAGGTAATGACTGTTTTTTTTTTTTTTTTTGGTTTTTTGTACTAAGTAGTCAAACTCACTATCAGGTCACTCATTGATCTCAAACAATCACCATCCCTTTTTTTTATAAACTGCTGTTGGTCACCGTCAGTGTTGCTATAAAATTATTTTTTGGTGTCTTCATATCTAACAAAGAAACGCACAACTACTTGTTTCCAAAACAAATATGAAAAGATGGGCTATTCCGGTTGCTAATTACACATAAAAATAGTGGCAAATACGAAAAGGAACATTCCTTAACACAAGTCTATATGTAAGTTTATGGTGTAACTTATTTTCTTTCAGTTTAACAAGTATGTTTGTGAAAGATTGAGAATAGAACGTAGTTTCACCAGCCCGTACCACCCACAAACCAATGGATTGGCTGAAAACACTAATAAATCCATAAAAAGGTAAGTGAATGGGTGGGAATATTACAGAACTAATGGCAAGAAGAGTGTCCAATGCTAGAAGATGCAATTCACAAAAAAATCTTCAAAATCAGTATGTTGCCTTGAAAGTCTTTTTCATTATGTATTACACCTTTTGGATTATGTATGATATGTTTCAACCAAGACTGTACTTGTTCCCTTTTTTTTTTTAAATCAAATCAATTTGCATTTGTTACAGAGCATTGCGGAAGATGGTTGATGACGGTGGGAGTAATTGGGATAAATTACTTGACCCCATTTTGTTTTCTTTGCGGACTAAAGTACACGCAACAACAAAAATTTCACCATTTCGACTAATGTTTTGTGATGACCCACGGTTTCCAGAAGAAGTCTCAGAGAATTACACAGTAATTGTATGTTATTACCAGCACCTTTCATGTACACATGGCATTAACTGTGTCTTCATTTTACAAATACAACCCCTTCTCCATTATTTTACAAAGATCCCAGATCTGAATACACTTGGGGAAGATTTCTGCAAAGACTACAGCATCAATATGAAATCGAGACATGACGCTGACATTGCACTGGCCCTAAGTAACATTTCTAAAGCACAAGAAAAACAACAAAGACATTATGCTAAAAGAAAGAATTCTAAATATGGGGAAATAACCTTTGCTGTTGGTGACTCTGTTCTGTTACTGAACGCTAGAAAGAGAACAAGAAAAGGAGCAGTACTGGAATCTAACTATCGGGGACCATACAAAATTACGACTGTTGAGGGTAAGAGAGTGAAATTAGAAACCATCTCAGGGAAACAGTTAGGAACCATGTACAGTATTGCACACTTAAAACCATTAAAAGAGCCACCAACATTAGCTGCTGAAAGCACATCAGAGGGAAAAATCGGAACTGAAATTGCAGTTGGTGACACTGAACCAGAAATACCCACAGAAGAGATTAGAAAAGTGGATGGTACTGTATCTCAAGACAGCACATTAAAAAACACAGAGGTCACAGCAATGGAAGAAGAGGAGTATATAGGGCAAGATGTTTCAAAGAATGATACAAGTGATGCGGATGACATTTTTGATGATGTGCTTATGGAGGACGTGGAAAACAAGCAATGGATTCTGAAAGGTAATTGGTTACTGCACATTTCTTAAACAGATTAACATACGTCATAAATGGAACTATGTTAAAGGTTTTCATGTACAAAGTGGCAGCATTCACAGTAGTAAAACAGAAAAAGGAAACTGTATTACCATGCATGTAATATGTGTTAATATGTTTTTCCTAGTCAAATTTGTAATGACCGACAAACACACAGAGAGACTGGAGGCCAAAGTGAGAAACATAAAATTGTATGGCTCCTCATTTCATTGCCTGAAACCGAGAAGCTGGATAAGTGATGATGTACATTTAAGTAACACTAAACATGTATTTGTTAATGGGATTAACTCATCAAATATTATTGAAATTGTGCCTTTTCTTTCATCATGTGTTGTAGGTTATTGATGCATATTTGAGCTGTGTGGTCGAGAAAGCAGATGGAAAGTTAGGCTACTTACTGTGATGGTACATGAAAGTATACATTGATTCAGTAAGTAAACAATCACGTGAATATGTGGCACAACATATTGAAGACCAAATTTCCTTGAAATATCAAAATAAACCTGAAATTGCAACATTTCTGTGTATTTACTGCTGCCAAACATTTACTGAAATGTATTTGGAGGTGCATATCGGACATACAATAGAGGGCCACATTAGTTTTGCTGTACAGTTCAGTGTGTCCATTAATTGAGCACAAGTATGCGAACAGCTTAGTTGGTTTTTACATTAAGTAAGACAGAGCACATTGATTACAAATCATTTTTTTTATAGAACTCTCTTATATATACATATCTGATTTGTAACACTAAGGATCCCTTGCATGTCTGTCTATATTAAATTCATTATGTTCTTAACGTGCCACAATTATTAATGCATTAATAACTTTGTTGAATGTCAACAGGTACAAGCCATCTCATCAGTATTTTCTACTGTCATTCTCTCAGGCAGAGCTCCACAAATGAAAGTGAAGGTAAATGCTAACACACTTTCATACATAGCATGAGCAAAGCACAATTTCATTCAGTGAGTTAAACACAGTGTGAAACAGCAAATACAATGGTGTGTTTGATGTGGAGGAGTAGTCTAATAACAATACATGTAATGAAACTGGGAAATACAGTATAATGTACATTTCATTGTTTGCTTCACTGGAAACTATAATTGCATTTCTAATTATTTTTTTTTAATAAATACAGAGTGAATTACTTCAAAATGATATATTATTGCTTCCTTACCACACACCAGGTCATTGGGTTCTTGCGGTAAGATGTTTTGTATTGCAGTTGTGGATTATGGTCAACAAATGTTATAATAAATAAGAGATTTGTAACACAACTATGGTAGCAGTGATATAATTTCCCGTGTTGCGGGTTTTCAGTGAGTTCAGTGCATGCAAATGAAAGTGGAATGTGAATGTTAAAAATAAAATGCTACTGTCAAGTTATGTTGTGAGTGTAACTTGGAAGAATACATTCTGTAATGAATTGATCAATGATTTCACAATATGCTTTTCTCTTGTGTGTTACTGAGACATTACAAATGAAAATATGTTAATTGCATAATGATTTTTGATAAATCATTATAAAATGCTTGACATAATCACATTACCAATATAATTTGTGAATATATTTAAACTCACAGATAGCCTCAATGAAAAAAAAAGAATTGTTAATAATTGACCCCTTGTGTGATGAGATGAGATATGAAAGAACATGCCTGAGGAATTGGAGGTGATTTATTAGATACTTACTTTTACAGTGGACATTAACTGTTCCATTGAAAATTTTTTTGAAGGGAATGTAACAATTGTGAGACTAATATCTTCCTGCTAGCTACAAATAAAAATTGAAACAGCATGTACTTGTACTGAATATGCCTAGTAATGGACTTTGAGTGAACTTGTGTGATTTGACTCTGGGGAACGACTTCACAGAATGTGGACATGAAACAGTAGCATGTTGCATGATTGAGAATGTGTTATTATCAACATGGGTCACAGCAAATCAGGTGATACATTGTGTAAGAGTGAGACAATAATATGAAAGCAAGTGTGTATATATGTGAGCAATAAGTAATTTCCATAATTAATTAAAAAGAGATAGAATGGATTTTTATCTATGTCCATAAACCGGAGGGGGGAAAAAGGGAAAGCAAAGCTCATTTATGCAGTCTGCTAATGTACTCTCTAAAAAGTTCAGAAACTTCATCAAACGATTAACTAGAAAATCCTCATCTGATTGGAACAGTAACATTGTTCATCATCCCAGACAAAGTGATGGCCACAACTGCGGACCACTCGTGTTAAAGGTATTGAATACCAAATTGCCATTATTATTTGTTATGTTTGTGTAATTATCCAGGGTGAAAGTAAATGCCGGAGATTACCAGTGGGCACTGCACCAGCGTCCTTGCCAAGGTGTGTGGGGTGGGCTCGTGGCCCCCAGAAGGGATGGGGTCTCCAGCGGAAGGTGCGGTGCTGGGGGGCCAGATTCCACCAGCCAGCCCTTCCTCACAGCTGCTGCTGCAGTGGGCAGGAGAACCAGGCCCTTGTAAATCGCCGGAACCCAGGGCCCCTTTTGCTCCCCCACTGTTGGCAGCCCTGCCAGGAGCATCCAACAGCATTGCTGGACCCTATGGCAGGGCCGCTGATGCGGGGGGTTGGGGGAGAGTGCTAAAGGGGGCAGTGACATTAAAGCATAAAGCACTACCACAGCGGAAGTGTAACGTCAGCCGTGTAAGGGACGGTACAAGTGGCCGGGTCTTACCGGTATGCTGAACCGGCCCACTTTCACCTCTGGTAATTATGATGTTTATTTTAAATATCAGTGTTGTTAGTTTGCAGAAGCGTATTTGCAGCACAAAGAAATCAGTATGGTAGAAACAACACAAGAGGCTAATACTGCGTTTAGAAGACATATAGCAATTCTTCTAATGAAGGAGTCAGGTAATTACTTTCTACCATGTACTGTTGTCTCATTAGGCACATGTGAAGATAACATGAAGAGTGGAATTATGTCACATAGCAGACAGTTATCTTAATACCCCTAAAGTGGGATATCTCACAGGTTTGGTTCTGTAATGGTGACTATGAACCAATAATATCCTTAAGTTCACAAATATTTCAATCAGGTGAATGATGATTGCTATTGATCGGCCAGTTAAATGAAATTGGCATTTTTAGATACAGGGGCAATAAACTAAAAATTTGAGAAAATATGAGTCACAAAAAAGGAAAAGATACGTTCAAACCATTGACTGGATTAAAATATTGACATTAATTAATAAATGAAGATTTGCATTTTCAGTTTTGGTCATAATGTATTCATCATTTCATAACGAGATATATATATATATATATATATATAAGGTTGAAAAAGCTACTGGGGGAAGCTGTTCTAGACTTGATTTTAACAAATAGGGAGGAACTCG